CTGGACGCGACAGCATGTGAACCGCTTTCCGAGTGCGAGGTGCCTCACGACCACCCATCAGCACTTTGAATCCGGCATTCCCACCAGCTGGCTTGGTGTCGGCAGGGTCTTCGCGGGATGCGACGGATAATCAAAATGAATACCAACGCATTGCGGGCGGGCGTATTTTAGGGTAAAAGGGGGAGAATTTGGAGGTTTTGCGCATCGGGCTAGGATGCATCGTCTCTAAGCTGAGCTGGAGCCATCTATAACCGTCACAGAGCAAAACCTGGCAAACCAAGTTCGGTATATCTTGCACTCAAATATATTTGATTTCGCCGAACTCAAAAGGCTAAGACGTGAGGCTGTATCCTCAGCCGTAGCATTTTCATTGGATGAAAATGCTACGGCTGAGGATTCGGTGCCACATATTGCAGAGCAACCTGCAAACGTGGATGCCGCCGTGAATACCCCTGTTATGAATTTTGTTGCCGTGCTCGAAAATAACCGCACTAGGCTCTACTGGGACCGGGCCATCATCACAGACAGGACTATTATGGCGAATAAGCCTGATATTGTGCTGATAGACCGGGCACAGTGAAGGATATTTTTTGTCGACATGACCATTCCGTATGACGAGAACCTCGTGAAAGCCGAAACAGATAAGCGAACAAAATATCTGGACCTGGCTCACGAGGTGACCGACATGTGGGGTGGGCTGTCGATCGAAATTATACCTGTAGTCGTTTCTGCAAACGGGCTAATCCCAGTCAGCCTCTCGGGTTATCTGAGGCGACTGGGACTCCGTGACGGACTGCTCCGGGCTCAAATGCAGAAGGCAGTACTCCTCGATACCGCCCGATTTGTCCGCCAGTTTCTTTCCTTTTCCCCCTAACCCTCGGCCGTTTGGTCTCCCCTGCCGAGGGCTTCCATCTGGTTGGGCTTTTATTTATTTATTATGTATTTTATGTATTTATTTTATTTTATTGTTATTTATTTATATTTATCATTTTCATTCACAATTTTATATTTATGGAACCCAACTAGATGGGAAAACCAAATAGATACCCCAATAATAATAATAATAATAAATCACAGACAGGATTATTCTTGCGAATAAGCCTGATATTGTGATGATGGACCGGGCACAGTCAAGGATATTTTTAGTCGACATTACCATTCCGTACGACAAGAACCTCGTGAAAGCCGAAACAGATAAGCGAACAAAAGATCTGGACCTGGTTCACGAGGTGACAGACATGGGAGTGGTCTTCCGGCTGAAATTATTCCTGTAGTCGTCTCTGCGAATGGGCTAATTCCATTCAGCCTTTCGGGTCATTTGAGGCGACCGGGACTCCGTGACGGACCGCTCTGGGCTCAAATACAGAAGGCGGTGCTCCTCGATACCGACCGCATTGTCCGTCGGTTTCTTTCCCTTACCCCCTAACCCTCGGCCGTTTGGTCTCCCATGCCGAGGGCTTCCATCTGGTTGGGCTTTTATTTATTTATATATTTTTATGTATTTATTTTATTTTATTGTTATTTATTTATATTTATCATTTTTATTCACAATTTTATATTTACGGAACCCAACTAGATGGGAAATCCAAATAGATACCCCAATAATAATAATAATATTAAATAATAAATCACAGACAGGACTATTCTTGGGAATAAGCCTGATATTGTGCTAGTGGACCGGGCACAGTCAAGGATATTTGTAGTCGACATTACCATTCCGTATGACGACAAACTCGTGAAAGCCGAAACATATAAGCGAAAAAAAATATCTGGACCTGACTCACGAGGTGACAAACATGGGGGTGGTCTGCCGGCTAAAATTATTCCTGTAGTCGTCTCTGCGAATGGGCTAATCCCATTCAGCCTCTCGGGTCATTTGAGGCGACCAGGACTCCGTGACGGACCGCTCTGGGCTCAAATACAGACGGCGGTGCTCCTCGATACCAACCGCATTATCCGCCGGTTCCTTTCCCTTACCCCCTAACCCTCGGCCGTTTGGTCTCCCCTGTCGAGGGCTTCCATCTAGTAGAGCTTATATTTATTTATGTATTTTTTATGTATATATTTTATTTTATTGTGATTTATGTATATTTATCGTTTTCATTCCCAATTACATATTTATGGAACCTAATCAGGTAGGAATACTATATAGATACCTCAAATATAATAATAATGTTTATTTCAAATATACATAGGTATTCATACACATTTTTGTTAGTAATTCACGTAATCTTTGTTAGTAAAAAAGTACAATAATAATATAATAATAAAATAAATTATATCTATAGAAAGAGAGCAATCATTTTAGAAACTTGAATGTCCCACCCACATGCATTAGGATCCAATGCCTCTGAATAGGACTGTCAAGCCTATCTTGAAATTCCTCAAGATACTATTCGAGCTCTTCCGTAATCTATATAACATTGACTCAGTTCGCTTTCTTAAGATACCATAAAAATCATTAAAACCTGTTTCAGCAAACATGCTTGAAGTACTACAGTGTCTAAGAAGGCCCATTAGCATCCTGAAGGTATTATTATATTCAATTCGAAGCGCTTTGTAGGTCCTCTGCGTGTAGTCACACCACAGGCTGCAGGTGAAAAATGTTTGACAGTACGCCTTGAAATTTTATGTCATTTGTACACCTAGCAAACCTGCGGGCAAGCATATTGCATCGAGCTGCCAATGCACGTCGCTCTCTCTCTATATATATCATTGTTGTCTCTCAGATATTCGTTAACAATGTGTCCCAAATATTTAAATTGACAAAATCCACTTAATGGCACACCAAGGAGTTTTACTGGCGGCACCGTCAAGGGTTTTTTTTAATGTTAACACGAAACACCAATAACTCACTTTTCTTGGTGTTATAGATGAGCCCATGTTCAGCAGCGTATGTATTCACACACAGATAACAGTCTACGCAACGCACTCACCGATGAACTGAGCAACACCATGTCATCTGCATAACTTATATTATTAACACGTTAATATATTTACGCTTATATTATTAAAAGCTAAAATTGGAGTTTTCTGCTGGTGGCCTAAAACTTTTTTTTAATGAAATAACTCTTAAGTACAGCAAATACTATTTGCGGGTGTGTTTATGGTTTTAGTATGTATATTTAATATATTACATAATATAGTTATATATCACTCGATGTCACGTGATGGGCCATGTGGAGTGTACATTTATCCTTAGGGGCCCCATCACGCGATGTCGAGTTTTGGGATACCTTAGCACTTTTGTGCAATTATGAGTTCAAATATAATAAAATTAAATATTTTTAGTATCAATAATTTTTATTTGAATTATATAACACAAAAAATAACAAAATATCAAAGAAACATGCAACACAAAAAAAAAATGTTCTAAATATTTTAGACACCGAAGTCTACAATTATAATGAACAGCAACTTTAGGAAAGAACTACTATAATAACTTTACTATATTAGGATAACAACCAGGAACATATATTTCTAATCAGTCTTAGTAAATAAATCAGATCTAAAGGTTTATCAAAACATAAATAATATTTGGTAAATTAGTTTTTGGTACAAGTATGTAACATAAAAAAACAGTCCGTGCACATAGGCGGACTATCAGGACAATCCTTACATTCCATCGTAGTCTGCACTCGTTTTTTTTTTTGTAACAATTTCTGCAATCTTTTCTTGCAACTGCTTGCACTTTTCTTTCTGGCCCCGTTTTTATCATCCGTTCCGTCGTTTTGAATATTTTCGTCAACTTATGACTTTGTTGACTTCGATTTCTCGATGAGGATTCAGGTCGTTGTGGATTTTCAGGTAAAAAATTTTCAATGATTTTCTCCCTAAAGTCGTATAATGAAAGCTTAGGTTTTCCCGAGAACTTGTTATATAGTAAACAAGAATTTACCAAACTCATCATCATTGTATGTAAAAAATTTTTTAAGTACCAGCGTAAAGTTTTTCTTTCGCATGGGTAATATGAAATCACTTGATCTTGAAGATCCACTCCTGACATGCTTTCGTTATAACGTACTATAGCCAATGGCTTCGGTGTTGTAATACCACGTTTACTGGTAACTTCTTGCATCTCGTCAGCGAACTCTGTCTATATATAATGGATTTCTCTTTTATCTTTCCATTTACCAATATGGACTCCATTTCTATACCGCGAGATATTCTCGCCTTTTTTTAATTTTTTCGCAGTTATAACGCGTGGATTATATTTACGTTTCTTGTTGAGAGTGCCGGTACAATAAGTAAGAAGACCCAAAAGTTTACTAGCTAACGTATATGAATTATAAAAATTATCCATATAGATAGAGGGGCCAACGTCCAATTTATTCTGCATCAATTTTTCAAAATTTTTTTGGTTGTGGCCCTTTCCGGCAGCATCTTCTGTGCTGGCAAACACGTGGAAATTTAAAATCAAGCCATCAGGTTCTGCGAGCACGTATAGTTTGATGCCATACTTGTGGTGTTTTCATTTGATGTATTGTCGGAAAAATAGGTGGCCACGCCATAAAACCATCGACTCGTCTAAACATAGGTTCTGGCCTGGATAATAAATATTATTCATTGTATTATTGAAATTGTAGACTATTTTTTGACATTTATTTAAACGCCTAGCAGTGGCGTTTTCTTCTTCATCAGGGAGAGTAAAATGTATACAACGTAAAATAATAAAAAATCTGTTTCTTGACATGCATTTCGAAAAGATGATTTATATAACCAGTGACCCTTCCAATAATCTGTCAATCGGTTCATTTTTGCAGTGCCAGTATGTAACAGAAGACCCAGAAATGTTTTGAACTCTTCAACGGTCAACTCTTTCCATCTTGAAATACGTGCATGACGATGTTTACTGGAGCTTTTCATACATTCGGCGTATCTGTTTGTGCACTCCACGATCATTCTCAAATATTCTTCATTGAAAAATAAACAAAAATAATCTATTGGATGTGATGGCGGTTCTACATGCAACTTTGACTCTCGAACGAATAGTATTTGTTTCATAGACAAGCAAGAAGTACTCTAGTGTGAGGTTGATCCTTCGGTGGCAGGTTCAGAAGACTCATGTGGCTTGCTGACTCTTCCATGGTTTCATTCAACTCCTCCCTTTCTGCAGATGAAAATCGAATTTCACTAGGTGGTAGCGGTGATATAACTCCTTCTTCCGACTCCAGGGTTGAGCTGTCTCCATCGTCATCACCCAATAAAAAATCTTCGTCTTCATCACTTCCCACAAAATCATCCTCATCAGAGTTTCCTAAAGCTTCAAGAATATCCGATTCGTGCAACAAAACATGCTTTGATTGCGCTCGCAAAGGTATCTCAATTGATCGTTTCGTACCTCTAGAGGTACCAGGTTGATGATCACTCATTATAAATTTTGTTTAATTAAAATTATTATCACTTTATACTACAAAAAATACGTATTATTTGTTCACAACTAACTAAAAACAAACAAGAAAGCCGTCCGGCTCGAGCGGCGACGCTAAGCGAACTAACCTGGAAGTAACCAATTACGTAGCACTAAAACTATCGCATGATTCGGATGGCCACGACCACTTTACGATAGCTCATACGGTGTTTTTTATGGACCTCCTTTCTCTAGAGGCCCATAAAAAACACCGTTGCGATAACGCTCCGGCCCAGACAATACGCTTCATACAAAACTCGTCGGACACTTCACGCGACGTCGCGTAAAGGGCCAAATTGAAGAGTACTGGGTACACAACATATGACCATCAATAGAACATCCTACCCTTGTTTCACTGAGTGCACCAATGAGCCCGTTTACGTGGAGACTTGAGACTTGTTCTCTTTATACTTCAGACATGTAAGCAGGCAAACATCAAATATTTATGGAACGAAAAGGCAAGTCGAATTGAAGGAAAATCTATTGTGGGAAAAATGTTTACCCGTACACTTTTCTAAATTGCGGTAACGTGCCCCAACTACAAAAGTAAGTAAAATCGTAACTATACCATTAAAAATAATTTTAATGGTATAGTTACGATTTTATTTAATTTTCACCATTTTCATATATTTTCTTTTACTTGTGCTATCATCTTGCTTGCCAATTTCATGGTTTCAGGTTAACGGATATTACAATACATAAAAATGGAAGTATCTCTCGAATTCATTGATTTAGAAACTTATTTTTTACATATTTAAAGGGCCTTACCTTTACGTTAGATTTTGACATTAATTTCAGTTTGATAACTCTACCCATTCCTCAGACCGAAAGCCTTCATAGACGGACAGACGGACGGATAGACAACAAAGTAATCTTATAAAGGTTCTATTTTTTTGAGATGCACGCTACTCATTATTACAACACATGGGACCAATACCACAAAAAACATTCTTTATCTTTTCAAAAAGTAACTTATGTGTGGGTAACCTCGAAACCTACATTGCAACTTACTTCTGTTGAAAATCATATAAAAAGCTAACTCAGGTTAATAAAGTGTTTTATTTATGAGAGTTTTATGAAACATTTAACCTAAATATTAGCCAAAAATATACATAACGCAGTCGAGAACTGCACGCTTTGCAACGACAGTACCTCCGTCGTTAGCCAATAAAATGGTTATACACCATTTTATTGCATGTTATTTCATAGTTGTTGCCAAATCAAGTCATAAATATTTTTCGTCATGCGATTTTGACGGTTTGGAATATGTCCAAAGAGTTATTTACTCGTACTCTTTACCTTTATATATATATACAGTAGTAAATAAAACAAAATGACTTTCAGTAAGTATTATGTAACAATCTACGTCGGATAAAAATATTCTTTGCTATTCTATTTTATATTTAGTTCCTATAATAACGCCAGAAGTAAAAGCGGAAGAAATTCAATGAGCTTGATTTAGACAAATTTTAAGGTATTGATACTTACAGCTTCGTACAGACAAACACAATGCAGTACGCCCTAAACGATTAATGTGGCATGGCAGTTTATGGAATAAATCTCTGCTTGGCATAAGAAAAGAAATGTGATGTAGTGATGTAAAACAAATATGGCAAAAATATAGCCAAAGTATGATACGATATTAAGCAGAGTAGGGTTGTTGGCTCCGAAGCGACTGGGCTGTGATGTGGAGGGGAAGGTGGCACCGCGGCGGCGGCCGCGCTTTCTGTGGCGGTCGCCGCCGCGCACCAGGTGCGGCACTCATGCGACCACTTCTCGCGCTATACGGCTTATTGTAGATATGCTCGCATATGATTACGAGACTGACTTCTTTGCTGATCGCTTAGGGCACTGTGTAACAAAGCCCTTCTATTTTTGACATTTAATTTTAACATATTGTAATATATTCTTTTAATCTTACGTAATCAATTTGACAATGATATTTTGCCTAATTTATTTGACATGTAATCTGTTTGACTTCTAATCTATTTGGTATGTATTTTTTTTTATTTGATCTATTGGGCATGTGTTTCCTAATTTATTTAACCTTTTTGACATGTATCTTATATTATTACTATTATTTAAAACTGTAATTTGTAAATTAGCATGCTTACGTTTGAGGCATGTAAACCAGCATGTATAATGTTTTTAAAATATAAATAGATATAAATAAAAGTATGACCCACTGCTGGCAGAAAGCCACAGGTATACTGCCATTTCCTAAAATATTTAGAGCAATTAGTTTGCCGCGCTGCTTCAGCACGTGATAGCTAACTGCACATGTTATTAAAATATTTTTATCAAACATGTAGGTTTAACTTTAGGATCAGTAACGTGGTAAGTCAGCACCTCAAATTAAAGCTTTTTTAATTTTACTCGTACCAACGAGGCTCGAACTCGGTTTCTTATCCTGTAAGCTGTCACGACTAGAAATTATTGGCAAATACAATTACAATAATATGGTTTTTGACTTTTGCCGGTCATAGTATCCTTAAAAATTCCATTTTTCTAATTTTCTATAAACTTTATTTTTATACCATTTAAAGCACTACTTCTCTAAGTAAACACTGTCGTAAGTGGTTTCAAAATTAAGTTATAAATTTATTTTCAAATGCTGAGACTTGGCCTCCCTGTCGTAAAAACTACCACTATAATTTTATGAGGAAACTCTGTACCTATTAAAACTTTGTGGTTAATGAGTTTTGTATTTAAAAAAGTTCTCTGAGTTTTCTAAGAAGAGAAAAAATTTTTCTATTTCCTTAACAGCCTAATTCCTTACAGCGTATGCAGCTTAGTAACAGATCACGTGCTAATCGCGCCCCGTCCCATAAGGTTTCTGCTTATTTAGTAATTATTTAATTAAATAATTATTTTTGGATCTCGAAATAAACTACAAAGCTTGTTTTACACCCTACTCATAAATAACATTATGATGAGAAACATGTCTAAATATGGAATATATATATATATATATGTATATATATATATATATATATATATATATATATATATATATATATATATATATATATATATGTATATATATATATATACGAGGGTGGATTGAAAAGTACTCGGCCTTACCAAGAAAATAAACACATACTAAATCAGTTATATTTTTATTTTTCTACATAATCACCATCAAGTTCAATACACTTTTGCCACCTCCCCTTCCAAGCATTTAGACCGTTGAAAAAAAATGATTCTTCCTTAGAGTCAAAATATGCGTCTACAGCTGCTTTGACCTCGTCGTTTGTCGAAAATCTTTGACCTCCCAAGTGCTTTTTTAGGTTAGGGAACAGAAAGAAGTCTGATGGTGCCAGATCAGGTGAATATGGTGGATGCGGTAACAGTTCAAATCCACAGTTGTGAATTTCAGCCATTGACTGTACTGACGTGTGAACACGGGCGTTATCTTGATGAAACAGGACTTTTCTTCTGAGCATTCCTCGACGTTTTTCTTTTATTTCCTCTCGTAAACGACGTAGTAAGGTGCAGTAGTAATCAGAGTTTATAGTCTGACCCCTTTCAAGATAATCAATCATAATCACACCTTTCGAGTCCCAGAATACTGAAGCCATCACCTTATTTGCCGACAAAATCGACTTAGCCTTTTTAGGGGTGGTGAACCAGGTCTTCTCCACTGTTTTGATTGTTGTTTTGTTTCCGGTGTACAGTAATGAACCCATGTCTCGTCCATAGTAACAAAACGATTCAAAAAATCATCTGCATCGGCTTCAAATAACTCCAAACAGTCGCGTTAAATAGTCAATCGCGTCCTTTTTTGTTCAACTGAAAGCAGTCGCGGAACCCACCTCGCAGACACCTTGTGGAAACCCAACTCGTTGACAATGATGTTTTGAGTTCGTTAATAAGAGATGCCTATAATCTCGGCTATCTCTCTAATTTTTAATCTGCGGTCTCCCATTATTAAATCAAGTACTTTTTTAATATTTTCGTCAGTAGTTGACGTCGAAGGCCTTCCAGAGCGGGGTTCATCTTTCACACTCTCTCTACCACGCTTAAATTCTGCTATCCATTTTTTGACGGATGAATATGACAGAGCACAATCGCCTAATGTACTGACCATGTCATCATGGATGGCTTTTGATGATAGCCCCTTCTTATGGAGGTACTTAATGACGGCACGCTGCTCGATTTGCTCCATTCGCGGAAATTATGTCCGATTACTTTGTTAATAAATTTATAAAATCACAACTAATTATCGCACACGTTTCGAACTTCACACAATGAACTAGTCTGAACTAAACTAAATAATGTGGGTAGATTTGATTTTTAGAATTGAATGGATCTGTGTTAGGCCGAGTACTTTTCAATCCACCCTCGTATACATATATATATATATATATATATATATATATATATATATATATATATATATATATATATATATATACTCTTATTTCTTTCGAAGATAAAAACGAATAAAATATATTTTTGTAGCTTACATATTGAGTATTAGAAAATGATAGTCCACGTGCTACCCAATGAAAATGATTTCATTTAATGTTTTATTTATTATTCATGAAAGACGGACATTCTGATTGATAGCTAAAGAGACAACAGAGTGACAATAATAGAGCTTCTGAGAGTTTGTCTTTTCTGCGTCATCTGCGTCATCGCCTATACTCTCAGTTACCATCATTATATTTTCTTCACTTCTTGTGAGTGTTGCTTATTAGGTCACCAATTACCCTTACTTACTTACTTTTACTTATCTTCACGCACAATCCCTAACGGGGTAGCCAGAGAGAACAGATCGCCAAGTGTCACGATCCTTACATACCTCTTTCGCTTCTTTCAGGTTCATTATCTTCTTCATACATGCACGTCTAGGTATCCGAGTACTCTTGACCTTCCCCTAGTAACGCTTCCCCCCTATCATAATAATAAATATATAAAATACTAAATGTATTATATTCCCCTTTATATTAAAAATTA